GAGGCAGAGAAGGAACTGCTGGTATTCTCTAGCCTGCCCACACTGCTGTACTGCCTGCCAACTCGGTGGACTTTGCAGGTGATATGACACTTTGGGGGACAGTTTGTAGTTTTATCATTCTAAAAGTCCTGCCCATGTTTGCAGTAGGATTATTTGTGGATTATCCTCCAGCTACAGAGACAGTGCTCGTGGGATTTCTGAGGCCTTATGCAGTGTGACAAGACATCCCACTGAAGAGAATGTAAAAGCTTGTCTAAACTGAAAAAACTAGAGGTATTTACTAACAGAGAGCAAAGACAGAGGCAGTGCACATTATCTACTGCTGAAATTAGCAAATACCACATGAGTTGAGGGAGATGAATGACCATGGATGCCCTAAAAGATGAAAGAAATACTCCAACAACCTACTTTTTCCCTGACAAGTGTCACCATACAACCTTTAAAATATCTAGATGCTACTTTCCCAGTGAAGTACCTTTTTAAACCATATATTTAAATCCCAGTTGAGTATGACCCAAAGAATATTGCAATGTCCTCCTCAAATCCCAAATCCACCTTCCACTCCTCCAGAGCTGGTGTAGCTCAGAGCTTCTTCAAGTTCAGATATTAGTAAAGTCCAGCTCACATTCACATCATCTGTAGAGCAGGAAATTTCACCTGCGTTGGAATTTCCAAAAATGTTAGCATTTTTCATAACTCACTACTAAAAATTAGGCAAGAGATTGCTATGATGCATTATTGTGGAAAAAGATCCTTAGCTTATCTTCTTTCATAGCCTCTGGAGAGCTGAAAAGTAATAGGATCAAAGCAGGAAATGCAGCTGAGATGAACTCTTATGTATTTTCACACCCTCCCTTCCCCCTTCCCCCCCTTTTTTTGTCCAACTCCAGTTTTACAACTTTTCAATGCATCCATGCATTTCCATGCAAATGATTACAGAAATGTCACAAAATCCCACCACGAAGAGCGAACAGTCACTATAACTAAATACTGAACAGACTTTGGGCTGTAGACATGCCCAAGGGACTTGATGAAGGCCTACATCTTGGCAGGAGCCAGCTGAGAGAAACTGCTGCTCCATTTTGAAGTGCTCAGTCCCACTACACAGGAGATGCTCAGTCTAGCAAGGAACCTCAGGGATGGGCCCCCAGATGAAGTCCCATCCAGATGTTCATAGTACAGCACATTGCCAAAGGTCCCATGGAGGACATTATCTATTCAGGAACATGGGGAGAAAAAGGGAGGGAAAGAAGAGGAAGTGTTTGCTGAGCACACACACAGAAATAAAAAAGAACTGGCTGAGTTCCAGGAATGAAAATCTGGCCCCACTGAAGTAGGTGGGAGCTTTGCCACTATATTTCAATGGAAACAGAACTGCACCCGATGTGAACAGTATTCTGGAAATATTCTCCCTCCAGACACACTGTGGGAGCTCTTTTGGCTCTGAATACTCACTGGAAACACAGAAAGGAAAATTAAATGCAAAACAAGAAAACAATACCAGAATGATTAATCAACAAACAACAATTAAGGAAAAAGTATTGCAGAAACAGGCAGCAAGTCCTTTACCTCCTGGACCACCAAACTTTGCCAGGAATAAGGAGGGATGAAAGGACTTGTGGTGCTGAGTACAGGGTGCCATGTCAAGATTGCACTGGGGACAGTCTACACAGACACAATAACAACAGGTAGAAAAACTTCTAGCACAGATCCAGTCTTGGAGTATGTTCCTGTCAATAATGCTATATAAAGAGGCCAGAACCTAGCAACTTCAGCAAAGATTCCTAGGAGCTATCAGTGTCCTGACTTACAAACTGCCAGGCAGGCTAGTTCTCGGAAAGGGCACGCTCAGCAAGCTCTGCCATTGTGTAACTGTGAGGATTCTGGAAATGAGAAATAGAATGCCTGAACACAATAAACAGACCCAATGCCTATAAAGCCCCATCTAAATGACAGCTATGACCCAGTTATGTAGCCTGCAGTTGCTCTCTGATTTAGTTAGCATTTGGTTTCATACCACAACTGCACAGTGGCCCTGGATGTTCCCCTTTTGCTGGCTGAAGAGTTCAGGCTGCCTAAGATGCTAAGTTCTACCTTTCAGAGCGCCTGAACACCCTAAATCCACAAAAGCCAGCTGGAGGGATGAATCCCCATCACTGCTGGAACTCAGCCCCTAACTCCCAACCAAAGACCTCTTTGCTGCAACTCTGCTGCAAAAAGGGAACAAACGGCTCTGTTTCTGGGAACTACTACAAACTGCACTGCTTCAGATGTGGTGATGACAGCATGTACACTTGCACACCTAGCACTGACTAATATTCAAGTATTGTATTCCACTTTGAGACAAGAAATTCAGATAAAGATTCATGTCTACATGTCAATGACAGGTGAGAGACAACAGCTAACCAAGCACTAAATCAGAGTTTCCTGAGTGACCATGTGGGACAGGCGCAGTGTAGGGAGGCACACACCAGAGTTTGGAAGCTCCCAAGGTGCTTTGAGCTTTTCTCAGAACTCCTCTTTCCTCACAAGACAACTGTAAAGGCCTGTTTTTAGCAGTGGGTTTAGCAGCCACCCCTGTGACATTGTGAGGCTTAAAACCTTCACAGTGCTCAGGATATCTGCCAGTTCTCCTCCATTGCTCTCTTCTCCCTCCCTCTCTCAAACAACCATGGAAAAACTATTTTCATAGTCCCTCCCCAGAGCATGTGGCCACCCTCTTTGGGTGAGGAAGATCTGGAGCTTCATGGCTTGCTGCCTTATAACCTGTGTGCCTGGACAGACCACTGGTCTCAGTGTGAGTTCCCTGTCCATGGACTCTTCTGTCAGCCCTCAGGACTGCACAGTGTGTGTGTCTGTTGCCTGATGTCATTAAAGGTAAGGGGAAAAATGGAGGGAATGACGGCAAAATAAAGCATTTCTGCCGGCCCTACAGTACTCTGCTAGCTCAGAGCAAGTTTTTCACCCAGTTAATTAGCTGGCAACTTGAAAAATGAAGAACAAATGTGTCTGGACTGACACTAATCGTGCAGCGGACTGTGAAAACAAACCTGGAGGGGAAGAGGGTGGCTGGACAGTTACTGGGCACTTGTGCTCCCTGGCTGCCTCAACACCGTCAGTACTCCTGATGACAAACCAAAAGAACTGCTTCTCAGTGTGCCAAAACCCTAGGATGAAAGGCACAGACTACCCCTAGTGTTGGGCTTTGCACCAGGCTCCCGGCTCTTCTCAGCGTGTGCCACGCAGCAGTGGGTGTAAAGGGCACACCACAGCCTTTCCCCCCCAGCTTCAATAGTGGACCTTGTAAAGAAGTGCAGGAAAAGGATAATGATCTGCCAGAGCTGCTCCTTACTTCAGGAGCATTTAGAAGGTTCAGACGAAACAAGTGTCTAGCCCAGTCTTTAGTTACACTGTGGTACCACAAAGTGAAATCTTCCCACCATGGTTTAAATCAGCCTCAAATGCATTTAAAAACAATTACTGGAAGGAACAAAATAACATCTTGTTTTGAACAGCTCTTGCCAGCACTCAAGAAGGTTTGAGGAAATCGCCTGTCCCCAGCTGACAGGCTGGCCACGGATCACAGCTAGGCCTATAACCTGGCTGCTCACCCTTGCTGGATCCAGGACTGGGACAATAAAAGGATCAAACCTGAAACCAGTACTGAATCCACAAAGGGAGAACTTAAAAATCCACTGCTGGGCCAATTATGGCTAAGGTCACAAGACCAGTGTTTCCAGAAGTAATTTTCACTGCCTTGATGCTGGCTGCAATATGAGGGAAAACGTGATTATTAGGTCTTGTCATGGAGTAAGAGCAATGTAAAATCATTTCAGCCTAGTCCTCTCATTTGTCTTCCACCTTTTACACATCATATTATTACTTGCCTTCTTTTTCACACCCAGGCCCAGACTGGTACCTAGAAATGGTTGAAAACCATTTCAACCTAGAAATGGTTGAAACCTATGCTGGCTCTATGTACAAACCTGTATTTTATGACATTCTTCTACCTTCCTTCAAGTATATCTGGGGATTTTCTCTGATAGTCGTGCCAAAGCTAATACAACTGGTATTAAACAGATATGTATTTTGTCCTGATCTGCTATTTTACCTAAAAATGAGAATTTCAGACTAGTACAATTCTTACTCAAAACAGCTGGCAACATTCTTTTTAAACTGTCAGAAGCAGATTTTCAACAAAGAACATAATTCTCAGGAACAGAGTGACGTGCAGACATTCTGAGAGTTACTGGTTCAAATGATGCCTCTTAAACAAGTGAAAACTAAACACACTGTAAACATCTAAAATTCTCCTTTTTTGTACAAGTTGATTGCGTTATTTCGCTACACTCAGATTTTCAAGTACAGTAACTCTGACCATCAATCCTTCTGAAATGAGAAGTTCAAGTATGAATAAACAACTAGACAAGCTTCTGTTAATAAAGATGAAGGAAAGGCAAAACCAGAATTCAATATTCTTTTTTTCTTGATCAAAGGCAGTACAAGTGATTGCTGCATTTACTATTTATTTTACAATATGCAGGTAAGAATATCTTCCACATGGTAACATGTAGCCCAGTGAGGAATGGCAAGCCAAAGGACATACACCGGTTTGCTTCATGAAGAAGCCAGGTGATACATGCTGGGTTATCATGGTGAATGGAATGATCACTTACTGAAGATGACCAGAAATTTATATTTTTTTGTGTTGGCTGAAATAGCTTGTTCTGTCCGTGTAAGAGTTTCTCTTCAATTAGAGTTTCCTATTCAACACACTGATTTGCACTGATTTGAACACAGGTTGGAAATGTCTGCAGTATAGCAGAAAGACATAATATTTAAATTTACTTACCTTGTAGATTTCTGCTGGGCTTAAAGTAGGGCCATGGCTCCAGTAAAAAAGCCCGCAAAGACTACTTTTCCCACACTAGAAATTGATTTGTGATTTGGGTTGTTAAATACTTATTTCGGTGCAAATCCTGCCAGAACGAGGAACTTACTGCTTGTTGTGAAGTTACCCTCCCCAACCTGGGGAAAGGAGTCTACGTCTTGGATGACCTGTAGTACTCCCACAGTCCGCACCGGGGGATCCAGGGCTACAGAGCTCTCGTTCACCGTTATATCGCTGGCTCCCGTTATCTGGTTGGTTGGCGGTCCTCCTATGGATGCTTCCAAGTCTGGAGGTATATCATCCATGCAATCTGCATTTGGCTAATAGGAAGAAAAAGAAGAAATAGGAGTTTTTACCTGATAAAAACATTTAAATTACCTGTTCCTACTTCTTTAAGGTTTTTTTACTTTCTTTCAGTACTGAAAATGGCAACATATGATGAAGAAACATGCAGAGTTTGCTTGTTTCCATGTGCTTAAAACCTCTTAAAACCATTTGTTGGAAGAGAGATCCAAAGTATGCATTGGAAATATCCAGTATTAAACTGTGTTGCCTACAATCTCTAAATATTCTTATTTATAATTTTAAAGGTTTTGGGGGTGTGTGCATTGAAAAAGTAACTCACTTATTGATATGGCAGATTGCTGAGTCATATTACAAATGTAAACAGAGACAGCAGCTGAAGTGGGATAATTATCTTTTCCCTAAATACACATTTTACAGAGCTTTCAGGAATAGGAATTCAAGGGAATTGCCTGTGGGCGCATCTATGTGTTGGGTGCAAAAACAGAAGTTAAAGCTGTTTATGAGACACATTTTTTGACATCAAAAGATCTTCTCCTTTGCTAATACTGTATTTCCTACAAAATAAAATTATGTGAAAAGAAACTAACAAGCAAAAATGAGAATTTTAAGAGTACTACTCAGTCCATGTCTTTCTTGCTTTGTTATTCAGAAAGACCAAGGATTTACCCAGAACTGGGTAATTCAGACACCTCCTTCTCGCAATTACATAGCGAATGTGCCAACACCTCCAGAACAAGCCAAGCCCTTCAAGTCAGGCATCTGCCTTGCCATTGACCTTACAGGGAAGCAACGAGAGGTAGTGTGGTGCTCACCTGTTGCACAGTACCCTTAGCATTGAGCATGGGTTCATGAAGAGCAGTGAGACTTCAAGTGGGCACTGAGGCAAATAAGATTGTCTGTCCAGAGACACTATGTCCAAGCTGGGCGCTTAGATCAGTCAGACTAGTTTCCACCCTTGATTTCTCTTGGTCCATTATAAGCCTGATACTCCCATTCATACAGCAGTGATTTCAGTGAAGCTCCCCATAAACACTGGTTAAAAAACATATGAGCAAAAAAGCTCTTTTTCTTCTAAGAGGAAACAGATTCTTGTGGTTTGCCCATAGAACCAGGCCTAGTTCTCGTCAAGGCATGGAGAAAAATTGTTTGCATAACTATTTCAATAACTGGGTTTTGAAGTTTTAGCAATGCAACAAAACCAAGGCTAATTCAGAAATGAGAATGCTATGAGTCAGGGTGCAAATCTTCTAAAGAGACAAAGGGACATAGCAAGGTCGAGCTGCAATCACATAGTTACCTTGTTAAGTTAAGTAGCTCCCATTTATCTTTAATGTCGCACAGTCAGACAGGTAATCTGGACCAGTCACTTAGGTTTCCTCTAGCCTCAACAGTTCGAGACAATTTTGCTGTGTGATTAATCCCACCCTAAGGTACATGGTCTGAATGGCCCCTCTGCCTTCCCGTTGCTCACCATGAAGCAGACATGGGCCGTAAGCTGCTAAACTGGAAATCCAGCATCTGAGCGGATAACGTCAGAGGAGATGTACTCTGGTCTGTGGATCTGATCTTTGCTCTCACTTGCTAAGGCATTTTTGAAAATCTCACTACCTCCCTATCTCCAATGGCAGGCACCTATAAACTAAGCAAAATATGATACAGCAAAGGTGAAACACAGGCTTAGCTTTAAGCACAAGAGTAATCCCTTTGAACTCAGGCATAAAAGGCTACCATATGCTTACATTTTTTGCAGAACCAGGAACTTAGCATGTTTTCTGTTTTCCCATACATTCCCTGTCTGATTGTTGCCACCTCATACATCTTTTTTTTAAATTATTTTTCTTCCCCACAAATGTTCCTAATGAAACAGACAGGCATTTTAAACAATCCTCAGGTGACTTGTAACCAAAACTGAAGTTTAGGATAAAAATCAGAATTGTCATTGTCTGGCTCCAGTCTAATCCACAGGCAGTGAGAGCTCCTCAGAACTGGGATAAAGGCACATTCAGCTATACCAAGTTTTAATGAAACCCATTGAACCTGTGCTTTTCTAAACAGAATACCCATCTGTAGGACTTGGATCCAAAATTATTCCTTAGATCTATCACTCATTCCCTCACCCTTAGTTGTTATAACAATTGCTTTCACAATTTAATTTTTAACTTAGATTTGCCTTTGATAGCAATGTATCTTAAAGGAAAAAAAAGTCTGTTTTTTCTTTTCTACTTTAGGACAAACTATTTAACTTTTTTTTTTTAAGGGGATCAGTTGTCTGTCCTTTGCTCTGATTACACTTATTCCTAGAATGGGGTTTTATCACTAACTTTTAAACCTTTAAAAATGGAGGATTATAATTGGAAGCCAAACCAAACATTAAAGATGCAAAAATAGCATTGCTTGATATAATTAATCCCTTTACTCCTGAATCATTTCAGTTGGAAAAAATACTTCAAACTAAGCAGCACACTATGAAACTAATGATATGAAATACCGATCGAAAAAAGTACGTTATGGCTTTTGCTGTCAGAGTGACCCAGATACATTTGCTAAGTTTAATTATATTAGTTTCACTCATTCCCTGCATGTAAGTGCTTTGAGGGCACAATTCCACTAAAGTCAAGGGATGGCTTTGTATTGACTTCTGAGGCTAAGGCTCTTAGTGAATAGCTTCAAGTCATTCAATCTGCTGCCAAAAATGCAGCTGGCTGCATATCCAGCAGATATTTGCAGAAAAGGGGGAGAAGCAGAGGGAAACTATTTTACGAGACATGATCATCTCAACAACAATGTAGCTCTTTGAAAGCGAAAGACACTTTCGCTGATAATTCACTTCAAATATTACAGCCAAAAAGGGTATCATCTGAGCTGGATTCCTGAGCAAAGAGACAGTGGGAAAGGTTACGCCACCTGTTTGCTGATAGATAGACAGATAGTTCATTAGTAATCCTCTGGAGCTGCAGAGCGCCATGGTGAAAGCAGGGATGCTAGGGTGCTCAGCTACTGTGAAAATGAGTGCAGTCATTTTGATGCCTCACCACAGTCTGGGAAATCTCGTTTTAGGGCAGATAATATTTGAAGTCTCTGCTACAAAGTAAATGGAGAGTCTAGATGTGAATTGAATTGAAACATTTAGGTATTTGGGTTTTAACCAATCATTTCCTGGAAAATCCTGAGTCTTCCTGCTAAATGAAGCACAACGTGTCCACAGTCACAGAAGCCAGCTCTTTAATATCAACCATAGGACAAACATTCAGCTGGCAGAAAAAAAACCTCCACATATTAGCTCTGATGATGGTAAGATTTCCTCATTTCTCCCATTGTAAAAGCCTGCAAAAGGACTTTGGCAAATTTGTGCTCAAGTGTCCCATTAGAGATTGCGGCCTGCCTAAGGCTTTTTTTCTGTGTGTGGAAATTCCAGCCAAGATGGCTCAAAAAGACTCAAGAATATGGTGAGGGAATGGCATTTTGCTTTATCCCCTCTACAGAAACGTTTGCCACCTCTCACTGAGAAGTCCCAGAGCTTCACAGCTTCTTCCAGGGAAACGTCTTTTCCCACAACAGCCTGCTGACATTTGGCTAAGTTATGAGCCTCTGAAAATATCAACTCGTGTGTGCTGATAGAGACTGGTGGCTTATTCGGGACCAACAACTACACTCTCCAAAGAGAAGGCTTTGCATGATGCCTGTAAGCTCACAGTGGCACCAGAAAGCACCCCTGGACCGATACCCACCCTGGCCTGCCCTCAGATGGCACTAGGCAGCAAGAAGGGTGAGGACACACTATTTCTGTAACAGTTGTCCTGCGAGCTGAGCAGGGAGCATAGGCAGCTACACCAGGGCAGGAGCAAAAAAGGATAAAGGTTGGGCAAGAGTGGTTATGCAGAGAAGAAGCAGGAAAGGACACAAGATAGGAGAGGGAGAGGCAGGAGATGAGACACATTTTAGGAGAAGGCAGAGAAAACAGAGGAAGAGGAACAGCTGATAGCAGTGTAGGAACTCTTAACCCCCAAGCTACCAGATGCTCTCAGATTCCCACGTTGCTGTCAGCCAGAGGAAACGCCCGGCATGAGGGCTACCATCTGCTCCCAGTTCCTATGAACAACAGCTCCTACTGTAAGTCACCTCGAGGGGGAAGGCTCTAGCATGCAGCTCTCCCTTCATGAACCTAACTAATGTCCCACGTGAGTGGGAGCCTGTGTGCTTCCTCCAAGTGATGGAGTGGGATGTTTTAATTTGTTGTGTTAGAACAACCTAGGGAAATTTTTACAGAAATTCATACAATAAAATCCTGTAAACAAACTTTGCTAGTGGAATGTCAATACCCAAGTGCTTGACTTTCAGTGTTAAGACAGACCAGCACTAAGGCTGATTCTGATCTCTTAATCTGAACTAGTCGTTTATGTTGGTTACAACAGTATCTTTAATTACATGCCTAGTACAATTGCTTCCATAGAACCTCCATGCAGAAAGCTCTGTGAGGGGAGTATGCAGTACAGAGAGAACAAGACAGGGAGCTGTGAGAAGAAAAACAATGGTTGAGGAAATTGAATGGTGCTTTTAACTATTCATGGCAATTATGTTCTATACTTGCCACTATACTCTGTAGTACCTATCATAGGTAGTAAAGCCAGCCATATAAAGCAAAACTTCCACACGTGGCTTCTGGGCATGTTTTTCCCTTCCCCTCGATGTACCCAGACTGAGATAACTTGCAGCTGATTTGCAGGCATGCTTAGCCTTCAGCAGCTGTCAGTGAAGTCAGTGAGGCCCTATTCTGGATGTAAATACTGACATCTAAATACTTAACATCTCACTGCAGGCCTCCAAAAACTGGAGGTTTGATTTGTCTCTACCTCCTGATTACTAAGCTGGATAGGGAGCATGTTAACAAAATGCTTGGGCAAAAATCCCAAGTGGGAATGGCGCAGCCTGAGAATAGGAGTTGTGTGGTACTGCATGGTGCACAAGAAAGCCATGGAACAATATAATGGGTATGGAGAAGAGGTGCAAAAATCCTGGGTAACTGCTCACTGGGAAGGCCTGTGAACTAAGGCATGGAACCTAAGGAAAAATAAACCAACTGTATTTAAGCCTGGGCACAGTGTTGCTGAATGGCAGAGATTGCCTTCACTGACATCACAAACACTCATTTAACAGTTGTGTCATCTTTTAATATTCCAGAGATAATATACATGTATAGCAGAAAAAGTAGCCCAATTGTAATGACATGTTACCCTAAGCAAACCACTCTACTTCTTTTTTCCCATTGCATGTTTTTAGCTTGGATTTAATTAGGTTGATTAACATATCTGCCTACTTCAGTAAAAACATATTTCATCACTTGCTACGAACTCTTTTCTGCAGCAACCTGCTTGGCTTCCTCATCCCCATGAAAATGAACTCTTGAGGAATGGCTGCATCAGCTCCCCTAATATGTTCACATGAGCTATTTTACTTTATATAGCTCTTCCACATGTGAGCTGGCATGTCACCATCTGTAACTGGGGAGGGTACTTACAGCACCTGTTACAGCACCAACCGGTGGAGTTACAGTATTGAACTTCACTATCATGTGGCAAGGCCCTCACAGTATGAGAAAGTGACTCAGTTCTTCCTGGAGAAGCCCCTGATCTCTGTGATAACTGTGGTTAGGAAACTGTATGGCAGACAGAACATACACTATCTGCATGTAAACATGCCACCTAAAAAGATCAATTGCTTTGACAGCTTCTAACCACATCTCAATGTTCCAAATAACAAAGAGCTTAACAATTTCTTATATGTCATGTGGTCCGCCACATGCTTAGTTACTGGGAGAAATGCTCCCTAATTGGAATTAGGAGTATCAAGCTCGCTACAGATAGACTTTAAGAGAAATCTGTCAGAAAAAAGATTTGGGTCCCCAGAATGAGAAATCAGTTGTCTTCAACTAGTACAACAGGGAAAATTTTATTTGTAGACCTTCTGCTTTGGGACTCGAACTGAGAGCATGATTAAAAAATAAATCCAGTCCTGATTTAAAACACAAACAAAAGAATCTATAATTTCACAAGAACACCAGTAAACAATCCTCTGCTCCGCAAAGCAGGAAGCCACACACAAATCCCAACACTCAACCAAACAGCATACACACACTCTTCCTTGCTAATAAAAGTGGGGTGCAGGAGAGAGGTAAAGTCAGACATTTCAGCTTGTACTACCCTTAATAAATCAATTAATATACCAATAACATGGCAAGAAGAGTAGGATGGGAACAGACAGGCAGAGGACTACGATACACCCAAGTGGCTGGTGTTGCCCTTCTGCCCCAACCAGCTGCTCCACAACGTGCTTACCGGGATCCCTAGAGCTTTTAGAATATTCATTTTGCACATCGGGCAGGTACGATGGTCTAGCAGCCAAGGGTCTACACACGACTTGTGAAAAAGATGCCTGCAATGAAAAACAGGATATTTTAATTCAAATCCACCACAGCATAATTTACCACTTAGTACCAGACACCTCTTTTGAATTCTGTAAAGTACAATTATTTCAAATGGTGCAGTTTGTGATCTCTACAAGGACTGCAAAACTATATCCTAGGTACATAAGACTAAAATCTTTACAGTGTTACTCAAATGAGTTTGGAAAAAAAGACATACATAATTAGAGAATTAGGAAAAATACACAAAATGCATCAGCAAAACCCATATTCTTTAAATGTTAAAGGCTAGCAGTAAACACAACCTGCCTGCTGACAGAGGTAAAATTACATTAGTGTTCCTTGATGGTTCTACAGACAAACCTGATTACACATAATCTAACTGTGAAGGCACTGGGGGTCTGGTATTTTTCAGAATGCAGGCAGAAGGAAATAAGGTAGATTACAAAAAAAATGCTACTTTAAATTTAAACAGAAAATTCAGGATGATGCTTTTGAAAACATTCGCCCTGACTTTCCTGCTCTTTAGAAGTTCCCCATCAGAGAGAGGTCCTCAAGAGTTCCTGTCTTGAAAGGGTTGCTCCTAATCCTGTGCTCAGTCTGAAGTGACCACCAAGCAACTCTCTGAGCCTTGTGACTGCTTGGAAGCCACTTTTCTTAGACATTATGCAGGTGGAGGATCTGAAAGTTTCTTGTGTAGCTTCACCTGACACAAACTGAGACTGAATATAGAGATATCTGGTGCATGTACCTGACTGACAAATTGTATTTTCTCTTGTGTGTTCTGTTACCTTGTGGTTATAGAGGACAAATGTTATAAAATACAGGAATGTGGGGCTTGGTGTTTAAGAAACGCTGTTGTGCAGGCCAAGTAGAACAGCTGGAGCTCAGCCCAAGGCAGTGAAGTTTGTTCAGCCCCAGGCTTTCTGAAGAAAAGGAGAAAAGTTTCCTACCACACACAGAGCCTCAGAAATTATGCTGACATGTAGGAAACTGAAAATTGACTTGCCTTCCTATAAATCTGTTTCAATCAAGGGACTGGATGGAATAAGATACTTCAGTTGCAAGGGACCTACAGTGAGGTCCAACTGCTTAACATAATTTCATAATAACTTAAGCACAACAGAAAGAGGGTATTTTACTCTAAAATATGAAGCTCAGTATACACAGTTCTGCTCCAAAAGGTGCAAACCAAGACTAATTTGCTTGTTTTGAAACAACATATAGATCAGCTCTAACTTTCCTTTCTAAGGCTTGCAACAAGTGTCCCACATTTTACTTGGCAGAGCCTGAAAGTCACATTTCATTTCAGTCTGCTTGAACTTCTGTATTTGAGCAATCCCCATCCTGTGTTTCCCCTGTGCTGCCACTGACCTGTGTGCATCACTTGTACAGCACAGTCACCCAAACTCACCAGGTAAGAGCAAGGGGACACAGCTCACGGCTGCCCCAGGAGCAGGGGCACATACCAGCCTCCACTAGGAAATGCAATCTCTGAGAAAGTCAGAATTACTTCATGCACTAAAATAATTTTTAAATATTTAAGTGGTATGTGTTCAGCTGAATGGGTTGGCTGCTGTAATGTGTGGTGGCCTCTCTCACATAACAAGATACTTTCAACTCGATGGGAAATATTGAGATGCACTCTCATAAATATGGATTTGCAGTGCTGGCTCCTACTAACATGGTACTGGCCCACAGAGTAGCTGGTTGGCTTACTAGCTGGCTTCAGTTCTAAATAACAACTAGAAATTTGAAGCCAAAACTGTGTGAAATCTCAGAATCTTATTCTTTTCACCGTGATGTTTTTCTCACTACTTCTAGAAGACACAAGTCCTTTGTGAAACAAAGCTACGTGGCAAATTATCACATTCCTGTACTTGGTCTGACTTCACACAACTATGGGAAAGGGCAAATCTCTTCTTGGAAGTTTGACCTGGTCTAATGGTATCAGTTGGCTATGACACCAAACTTTGTCAAACCTCATCTGATCCTGTACGTCAACATGATTAATGCAAATGAAGTATCATGATACTTGAAGTTTAAACCACTACTTTACTAAGGCTACTAGAGTTCACAACCCTCCTTCCAAACAAGTCTTCTCTTACTGGGTAAAAACACAATACACCAATTTTTGGTCTCTGTCCTGCATAACTCTTTCTTCCTTTTATCTCAGGAAGGACACATTCAGGACATCACTGTGCGAGCATTCTGAATAGGTGAAGGCATAACAATACAGTCCTCAGGCATGGGTCATTTTACATTTTGAAGTCTAACTAACAGAATTCCTTGGGTGAGTTAATTCTTACAGAGTACTGAAAGCCAATGTCTTCCTTTTCAGCTATGTGAAATTACTGTGAAATTCTTGATAGTGATTGATTTTCTTTATTTATATATTCAAATTAATAAACAAGTATGTTTATCTGCAAGCATCTGAAGCACATTTGTGCCAACATAATCAGTTCATTTAAAAAATCTGAGATGTTTATTATTCTCGTTAAAAAAAAAAGATTTTCAAAATCTGCTTTGGGTAAAAAAAAAGTAATTTCTATCAAACCATTCTACCATAGACTAGAAAGCCTCCTTCTGTTTTCAAGTTCAAGCTTTGCAAGTCTCAATCAAGCTGTGGTTCATATTACAGCATTTCATAATGATTGTTAATCACCAAAAGCTTGGATCTTTCATGCCTTAAAGACTTTAAAAACTGAAGTTTAGTGTTTCTAAAGTTGACTTTAAAAACCAATATTCTCAAATAAATCCTACCCAATGCTGAGTAATTTAAATACATGACAGATCATGTCACTTTGCACTTCTCAATAGTAAATTAGCACAGTCTGTTATGGGTCTATTAATTTCAGATTTGATATGTGCCACAGAAAGAATTTGATTATTCGACAGAAAACTACAGAAAAATTGAATGCTACTGAAAACGCAGATAAAGATTTGCATTTTAAATTTTTTGTAACACATTATACAATTAGAGTGATCCTAATATCTATTTTTGAACATGTAAACATTTTGTGCAAAGAAGTGAGGTGGCAGGCTTTGCAGATTTGGATTTGAAAGTTTACTTTATTGGTTATTAGCTATAGCACTATATACATGCTTATGGCTTTCAACAAATTGTCAGTTGTTTGAAGTCCTGACACGTTTATCATTCAACTTCAGGCAAAATAAGGGTAGGCACAAAGTGAGATGAGAAAGCAACTGCAGTATTTCACTGTCACATGGTAAGACAAAGGTGTAAAAAGATCAACTGCAACAAAAATCCCTCTCCCTCTGCAGTTTTAACTGGTGCAAGTTTTGAAAGGAAGAATAGGGTAGAGGCATCACAGATGAGTTCAGAAGTAATGACCCTTACAGGGACACAGCAAGAGAGATGTTCCAAGCACAGGCTTGGGACGTGGCTTTGACAAAGTCAGACCTAGAAAAAAACATGTTTTTTCTTCTGTGCATACACATGCATTGCAAAACTATGTTAATTTGGACGTGTTGAAAAGCTTTTCAGAAGAACTGTAATTGATTAGTTGAGAGGAAGGCAAGAGGAGGGGATATGTCATAACAATCCTCATACAAAACAAAGGCTTCCTTAAGGAGAAAGGAAACAACTGCTCTTCACCTCTCCTAGGGATGAGAGACACAATGATGGGTTTAAACTGCACCAATGGGAACAGGTTATGCAATGGGAAAAGCTTCACCACCATCAGGGCAGCAAAGCACTGCAACAAATTATCAGGGGAATTTGCAGAGTCTTCATCCCTGGAAGCTGCAGAGTGTGTTGGAAAAATAACTCCCAAGGAAGACACGTGCAGGGCCAGTGCCCCTGCGCCGTTCCAGAGGCGTCGGCCTCCTGGGATCGCTCCTGCCCTCTTCTGCCACTGCAGGCGGCTGTGTATGGCTCACAGGGCACACAAAGGAAGAAAAAGAACCTCAAGATCCCAGAGCTTTTCATTCACTGTTACCTAAATAGCACTTCATACTTTTTAACTGGAAATTACTTTTGTTTGAAAGTTATTTTTCTTTCAAGCTGCAATTTTAAACATACAAGAAAAAAAATTTCATTTCGGGCTCAGCCCAAAATTATAATAATAAGCAGCACCACCAGTAACCTCTCCAAAGACAGAGAAGAAAAGACAAAGGTGTTTTTAAGCTAGACATAGAGGAGAAGCAGAAGGAACGTGGGCTATGGCAAGCGACGTCACTCCGGGAGCAGTGAACTCGGTTACATTTGACGTTGTGTCAGTGCCCTCAAAGATGACTTCAATAATACTTGCTACTATTAAACATAAAACCAGCTGCAAGCCAACATTTTTTTATCAAGTATCAGTCCTTATTTATTTGATACATTCTGGAGACTGAAGTTTATTAATACAGTCAGCTGTAAGAGGTGGCTAAAGAGGACATAGAGGAAGAAGCATAAGTTAACTGGATTTCTCCTCCTAGCTCCCCAGTGTGGGATACGTAATGACAGGCTACCCCAGTGTCTGCTCTCTGCCAACAGAAAAGAAAGGACACCTGGGGAAACAAAGTATTAGTAAACGTGTATCTATATGACTTTAGAGCTCATCCACTGCAATATTGGCTGGTGGATTTTTGGCACCAATTTCTTAGGAGGTGCAGTCTGCAGCACACTTAAAAAGTAATCTCAAGATATACAGGGCTTTATACAGAGTGTGCCTGCTAGCTGTGGTTTTCCGAGTACTGCCTGCAGTACAATGCAGCATCTTTCATGTGCAGCTCTTGAGGTGTACTTGGCTTTGCAGGTAAAAAGTTCTACATCTTGAGCACCTCATAGACAGAAACACTAAGGTCAGCCAGCACTGATGTCATGCAGTGCTGGCTTCTGTAAGGGTTGATGAAATGCCAGCCTTTTATTAAACTGCAGCCTAATGAGGTTCCCATACTAGAAACTGCACACAGTATAACTGAGGATGCTGGAGGAAGAAACCTACAGAGTCTTTAGGTCTTTCTCAAGATGTAACACTCTCCTACTCACTTAACAGAGACAGAAATTAATCCACTTTTTTTTTTTTAATTTTTTTCTTTTGGATGAGGAGAGGAGACGAGACTGAGAACAGCAGAAAGCATCATGACTACCATTTCCTGTCTTGGAAGTCCAAACCCATATGAATGTGTAAAATACTGCCCTCACAATTTGTGTAGTGGGAAAGCCAGGGTTTGTGAAGCAGCTGTTTGAGAAAGATCTTTGAGCCTTTTTAACTCAAAACTGCTGAGGCTCAAACTGTGAGTATTTTACAAGACAGTTCTGCTGCTGCTAACCTTTTAGCATGAGTAATTTTCTAGGCGACCTTTAAAGTCAGCCAAGAACGGAACATCACCTGTTAACTATGTGATTCCTATTCACTCTGCTTGACTCAACACTGTTGATGACAAAGTCTGACTGGAGCCTCTCTGAATTATGAACCGAGACCCAAGTAAAAGCTAGAGCTTAGTTGCAATTTTTGTTGTTGCCTATCTACCTCCCAAGACTGCCTGTCCTCTGTTGTGCAAAATTTCCCAGCTTTATTATGCTTCTATAAAAACAGGCTTAATGTCAAACCAAGGTCCACATTTTCTGGTAATTTATCTTTTTTTCTGTATTTCTGCTTCATGAAATGATGTGTTTGTGTCTGTTCATAAAAAGGAGAGCTTACATGCAATTTGTCATTGTGGGGGATTTACAGTAGGTCAAATTTATGATTAATCTGTTGCTTTTTGTTTGCCATTTAGTGATGGCAGTAAATAGATTTAATGAGTCACATGAACAAATAGAAATGCACAGCTTGTAACATTAAAATATCTACTAGGGAACAACATAGCAGGAAAAAACCAAAATATTTCAGTTTCTCAAGCCAGTGAGTAAATCTCTAGAAGAAAAACTATATAAAGAAACCTCGAACAACTCTGTTCTGTACATACAGCACTTGAGATCGCAGTTTCTAGGGAAATCAAACACTTGCTCTTGTTCTCCTAGGGAAACCACTGTTCCTAGGAAATTTCCTAAGAAATTGATTTCCTTAGATAAATCCGTTGTTAGCTGACACTTCACAGTTAACAATGCAATGGCACAGAGAGATGAATACAGCTGTTATGGGTGGCAAGAAGCTATGCTCCCGTGTCCCATCACACTGAGCGTATCTGCTACACAGGACATGTTCGCATGTGGGAAAGAGAAAGAATAAGCCTAAAAGCTTTTCTTGTCACCTCATGTCCCCCATGCCTGGGAATATCTTCATGGCAGCAATAGATAATGTGGTCTCTGTCACATTCCCTTTTTGCTTTACTGTTTCTACTCAGCATCTCTCTTTTTATGGTTGGGTTCTTTTGACAGAAGACAACCCTTTCCCAGCACCTCGTCATGGCCCAGGACAGCAAAAAAAGTGGCTCCACAGGAGCAGGAGCCTGCTCTATCCCTGGCTGCTGCACCCAGGGCTCATCTTGAAGTCAGGGGCAAATTCTTTTAAGGGAGTTATTCTGGACTGATGTAAAATCAGTGAGGAAAACAGAGAAATCAAAACCTTCAGTTTAAAAATCCTACTGAAGACTTCATAATAGGTCCAGATCAGACAAAATTTCTGACTACCATGCTAAACTCTGGTTCTCACCACCACTAATGCTACTTTCACTTCAAGTTGAATAAATATGCATTTTTGGTATCTTTACAGAACACATTCTGAATAAATCAAAATTTAAAACTCACCCTTTCCCTCAAGCTCTCAGGTAATCACATCAGAGTGATATTCTGAGAACAGAGACTATCTTGAAGTAGAGATGCTATCAGTGTTAAAAGCACCTTCAACTTACCTGCAAGGCAAAATTCTGACAACATCATTGGGCTTGTATCCTTCAATACAAACTGCACAGTTATCAAAGTCTGCCTCAGTTTCCTACAGGAAAGAGAACATTAATAATTTTTAATTTTTTATTAGGTCAGCTAATCTCTTCATAGAAGAGGCTATGTGGCAAAGTAAAACGGTCACCAATTCATGCTGCAAATCCAATAATGTATTTCAAGACAGGAAAGTCAGACTTTCAACATGTTTCCAAGTTGGAAACTTGCCCAGAGAAGCATGCAGATTTAGTTAGCATGTTTGAACTTTGAGGATTTTCTGCACCCTCACAGAATCACCTTCTTCTGTCTGTACTCCATTCCATTGGTAAATTGCTTACCAGTATTCCTCCCTCGCCTGGAGGACACATAATAGCTAAATAAGCAATTGCCATTCCTGTTCTGCCTCATTGTCCCAGTGGTCTGAAGGAATCCTCAGTGCAGAGTTTCATTTGGTAATGAGCAATTTTGAAAAATTACCTTATCACCTTTCCTGATTGTTCTGACTTGCAGCTTGCTGATTGCTTTCTTTGCAGCATCTCCAAGCCGGCGCTGTAATACAAAATTTGCTCTTAAGCAAAGAGTATCTCTTCATGCAGAAATCATCACCTTTTCTCCCTAGGCTTCTTAATAATCTGAAGTGATTGTACATGAAACAGAACAGTGCTGTATAAATATAAACAGATGAGGTCAGTCATGCTGTTATTCAGAATAAGGGCACAGTAGGTATTCTAGGCGTGCTGGTAACCCACTGATGATGAGGTAAAGCTACTCTCAGAGTTCCAGTGGAGACTGCAGTGAGCCTGTCATAATGCTACACCAGCACTTTTACTATTCCAATGAGTAGCAATGCACGTAACAAGTCCACTCTTTGGGTATCCTACTTCTTTCCTCTCATTTTTTAATGACACTTGTAAAAAATATATTTTTAAATGAGGCCAGGGCTGGTAAGTAGAGTGAACAGTGGACTCAAGACTCAGGAGGTCATCATTCTTATGTTGTTCCAGAACTAGTTCAAGATCTTCAGCAAGATACAAGTGCCAAAAGTGAGCTGTTACTTTGTTAACCATCAAAAACATGACTCTTCTGCTGTTGTCTTAACCTGCAATACAGTTGTCTACTTTATAAGAGCAATGCAAGGTGTAAAAATTAACCTAAAGCATCTGCAGCTTCTTACAGGTAAAGCACTACATATTCCCGCAGTAACATCCATAGATAATAATTTGCTTTCTCTTTGCCTTTCTATCTTCCCCTCCAGTGGACCATGAATTGCTTACCATGTGACGTTTCTGACTGTTCTCCCATATTTCCAAAACACTGTTACTGTGCTGGCAGGGTCACAGCCACTCAGGATTAAAGTACGTAATAACAGCCCAATGTAAAACAACCTGTTCTCAGAAGCTGAAGATGGAGATGCCTGCTTCTTACAAGAGCAGTTCATACAACCACTGCTCAGCAGAGCTACTTCTGCACCCTGTGCCTGTTCAGTCTGTGCCTGTATCAGTGCTCCGAGGACTTGGCTGCTGCCTTGTGCTCCCAGCAATGAGGCAATCTGGAGACAGACTCACAGGCTGGAAAGGTCTTTGAGAAGTCGGGCACTCCCACCCCCTGTTCAAGGCTGGGTCAACTTCAAAGTCAGAGCTGTGTCCAGTCAAGTTCTGAGCATCTCCAGGAAGGGAGATTTCACAACCTCTGTGGATAATTTGTTCCAGTGCTTAGCCTCTCTCACAGCCTTTAATATACAAATGGAATTTCCCTTGTTGCAATTTGTGACCACTACCCTTGTCCTTTTCTGTGCACCTCCGAGAAGAGCCTGGCTCTGCCTCCTCTCCAACCAGCTGTTATGCAGCTGAAGGCTGCAAGCAGAGCCCTTCCTCCTCCTCTGCTCCCCCTTCCCTCAGATGTCATGTGCTCCTGTCCCCAAACCACACTGGTGACCCTCCTCCTGGCATCCCCACCAATAAATGCCTTAAACGTTTCTCTTCACCTCTCCTCCCCATTCATGTTTCCAGCCATGTGCTGTTAGGCAGGAAGGAGACTTAGGAGCTCTGGTGACTCAAAAGACATTCAACTTTCCAGGCTGGGAACTCGGCCTGTGCTGGAGTTCAGAGGGGCCTGTCAGCGGGAAGGGTTTCCAGCTGGAGGGGCTGAGAGCATGGAGCCAGAAACGGCAGGAAGCTGGATGTAGTTTGCAAACTGGGACCTAATCGCCATACAGATACGATTAATAAATTACCACTTTGTTCTTCAGATTCAATTAAAATCACTGAATTAAATTTAGGGAGTAAGCTTATTGGATTCGACAGACATGGAAGAGTGACAAAATGTATGCCATGCTGAAAGCAGAGAGCAATTTCAGATCTGGCTGAAGAGGTGAAAATTAACTTGGCTGTCATATGAGATTTACATATGAGCTTTCCAGCACAACTAATTATTACACGTGAGGGAGTATCTCGTAGTTGTACAACATGTTTTCTGCGGTACATTTTTCTCACAGTCTCCCTTAAATAAAGGGATCAGATGAGAGCTGGAAACATTTCTTGCCAGCTATTTGTTTCTCCAGTGTAAATCAAAGACAGACTGATAACATACAGCAAGACAAGAGCCATTACGTCCTGCTTCAGAAATTGCTTGTGATTCCTTTTTATCATTATTATTACTTAAACTAATGAAATGTCTCAGTTCTTTTTTGCACGTTTTTCAAGAGGAAAGGACAAGATTAAAGACTCATTTACATCTTTGATCTGCTTGTTTTCATGTTTGCTTTCTCTTATCTATCTTAAATAGATAAGTTCATGACTTACATGCAAACAAGAATAATTTAGGTTTTGAAAGAACAGGAATATCTTGAAGTCAAGTCATACTTTCAAAGGATTCTTCTATTTGACTGAAAGCCATCCTATCACTAACCAATGATTTCCCCTAAAAGATAAGAGGCATTAAAATAGTTTAAGAGTTTAAAGTGAGGCTTAGAGATTTATAATCATAAATCCCGTAATCGCATTAGCAAGGCTGCAACACTCAGTATGGAACTGGAAGGAGTTAAACATGTCAGATGCAGTGGTCTTGTGGAGAAGGTGACATTAGTTAAAAAGAAAGGATAGCAGCACACAAAGCATCTCTTGTCTGTTCTGTTGACCATAGATGCTGTGGAAGAGAAATTTTGGTAAGTGCTTCTCTCCTAATGATTTTACTAAACTGTCACCTTTGCAGGGAGAAGATTGCCTTGTGCAGAACGAAGCACACCATCAGGACAAGGTATCAGACACATCTGTACCACTGATCAAGTTGGTGGACTGCATCGTGGAATGCATCTTCCCAAGATTGCTTCAAAGATGATGACTCTACTCAATGGCCCAAAAGTCTTGTTCAAAGCCATGGCCAGCAGCCTTCCTTCTCAGAGGACTGCTTGATCCTGCACATGCTGCCAGTCATGTACTACAGCAGATCCTTCCCTGGAGATTAACCCAGGATGCACAGGACCCTCCTCAGTCCCAGTGAGATCACTCCTTCCTTTGGATTTCACCATTCCCCAAAACTCACAGAGCCCACCTGGTTTCAAATTAATTGTACAGAAAACTTCTTAACAAGAAACCAAAGAGAAGAAATGACATGGAAGAAATTCTGCCAACAGGTCTGGCATTTAAACATCATCCCCTCACCATCCTCTCATCTCACAGATGACAGAAAGAGAACTCTATTGTTACTGGTGAAATATGAAATCTGACACACTGACAGGGCTGGCTGGGCTTTTTTTAGAGTTTGTGTCCTGGCTGTTACAGGGCTGAGACAGCAAGTCACATTTTGCTGAATTATCTCCAGGACTTAACTTGTCATGTAATTCCAAACTCCTTTCAATTTGCTCTGCAACCTGATGTCTCTTGATGCAAACAATTCCCATAGTCTTCTCATAGAGAAACTCTCTCATCTTCAGGAGGGCTCCAGGAACAAGCCACTGAGGAAGCAGATTGCCTATGCTTTCCTTACACAAATGTATCCTCTTCATATCAAAAGGGCGTATCATCAGGGCAAACATCTACTTCCTGGACATCTTGTTAGGTGGGAAAGAAAGAGGAAACCTTGAATATTACTATCTGCCTTCTACTTTCACATGTACCGCACAGTTGTCTGTGCTAAAGATACTCCTAAAAATTAAGTGTACTAAGATAAAAATTGAAATCTAACCGTATCTGTAGCTGACACCCTGGTTGCAGGTGCACAAGGCTACAATGGAAGACAGATTTACGCTTCACTGCAGAAATTTGCAGCCAAGATGGGACAAAGGGGGATGGCCATTCAGTGAGAATCCTTGGAGTCTTGATTGTCCACCCATCAAAATCAGGCACCTAACTGGAGTGAGCTGTCTTCTTTCTGGCACATGAACCTGGATTTGGCACACATGATGAAAAAGAGTGGTGGCTGAAGACGTGCACGTTATATGTCCAGGTTTCATTTCACTGAGGAGTCACAGGAACTGATTCCAGGAGATGCTTCAGCATTTCTAGCTGCCTCTCTCACTAGCTGCACTCATTGCTTTCTTGATGGATAATTAAATCAGTTCCTTTTGAGTTTACTGCTTGATCAGCAACTTATGCTGGGTGCAAGAAAGGAACTGAACCTGGAAAGGAGGGTCACCATATAAAAGAGGACAAGATGGCAAAGGTGGTTATGAGGCTTGACAAAAGGACACACCATAGTTGAAATGGGTCACAGCTTGGAAGAGGCAAAATTGAAAATTACTTAGGGACACTTGGAGTGATGAAGGAAAGATGTCCAGAAATCTTGCTTTCATGTAACAGCACAACACCCCTCCTGCTTGGAGATAATGACTTTTTCTGACAATCATGCTTTGCAGTCAGCCACACTGTCACATCCCCTCAGCACAGTGCCCAGACTTCCAATCCAGAGGTTGAACTGCTCCTGGTAGGAGCTTCAGCATCAGCCAAACCTAGGAAGGGCATGCATGATAGGGGTTAACAAAAAAGTCAGCATAGGTTCTCATTTGACGCAGAAAACATAGGCCCTCACAAGCCCTTGATTTCAAACTGTGGGATTTTAAATCATTCAGATGTCAAAATGAATTTAATCTTTAAAACTTTGTTATTTTAACTGAAGTCTAATAAATGAGTCACAGTAAGATTTTATTGCATCGTGGGGTAGGAACTGATAGTACAACTTTCTCTGAATTGGTCAACTGCCTCTCCCTTCATCTGCTGCTTTGTTTATCAAAAAATGTTGACCTTTCCCTTTGGATGAACTTTATCCTGAAAATATATAATACAAATAGAAGGAAGCATCTTTCCTAAAACTGGCCAACAATGAAGGTGCTTGCAACACATGCAAGGCTTTCCTACAAGTAAGCACAATACTTTCATACAAACAGACACATGCAAGTTATAATGGCAAGCGCTTTTGAGCACAGTGATGAAAGAATCTTGCTCTGGCAAAGCAAGACAAACTATTTTTCTTGTATATGTCTGAATATTCAATATATTAACAGCGAACTCTGTGATCCCATCCTTGTGCTACAAAGACAATGTGTCAAAGGAAAAAAAAAAGAACTTTAGGGGAAACAGAGAACAACCCTCACGGAAAGGGCAAGAGCAAGCTGAGCTCTTCTGAACTACATACATCATTATATTCCATAGCCAGGACTAAAGGAAAAAAAAACAAACCAAACCAAACCACAGCAACTCATTAACACAAATGGGTGGGCTTTGCCTGTATATTGGTATGAATTTTCACACACAAAGAGCTAATAAAGAGATTAGAGGAGATGACTGGAAAAACTGGCCGAATTAAATACATGAAGAAATTCTAGTCTGCCCCATATCATTATTACAACTTCAGCAAAAAAACCCCAAACAATAAATAGTTTCTTAGAAGGCATGCTTTCTTATTCTTCAGAAGAAGAGAACTAGTATAGCAACAAAGGTATCAAAACCTCTGCACAGGACAAGTGCTTGTGCACATGTTAGTCTTGTTTGAACTTCGGAAAGAAAATACTGAAAAGGAAATCTGCTTGAACAAATAAACCTATCAGTTCCAAACTATAGCGAATTACCTGAGTGAGCTTCTTATATTGCTGGGCTTCATGTTTCTGTATGTCTATTTACACTGCTAATCTGCCTGTAGAATTACCTGATTGAAAGCACACTTACAGTATTCGTGTACCTAAATTAGGCACACATGTGCTTTTGCAGTCAAGCATTTAAAATTATCACAGCCGTTACAATCACAGTGAATGTGCTGCCAGCGATGTTCAGATTCCAGCTGGGATAGTCTCATTCTTGCTATCCAAAATTTCATACCGTATATTTAAAAGGAAAATATATTCTTTCTGTCTGTAAACACAGAGCAGCTGTTGTCTACTGAAGAGGATGTGTGAATGTCAATGGGGCAGGGGGTAAGGGATCCCTATACGTTAAGTATACATTACAGAGTGTGTGGCAGTACTTTTCTCTACAAGATGATTATTAACGCTCTCAGTTTTACTTTTTCTGCAGAGCAAGCAAGCAATTCCCTCTCCCAACAATAATTTATTAAGGGTCTAGAATAATCTCTGAATTACAGTGTATTTTTTCACTGCAGTGAAGTGGTTATCTCCTCAGATTTCATACATTGATAGCATTTTCTACTGTACCATTAAAATGAAATGTAGAAGCCTCAGCTTCACAGTTCTGCTGATGCCAAGATAGTTGCAACCAGACAAGAAAAGATAAAATTTATTATTATCAATGCTATTATTATCCATTGCTGAACTACCATAAAGATGCACACTGCTTTATAAATCCAGAGTGCCTCAGGACCTAGGGCTCATTCCCACTGCTGCTGACTTCTCTCCAGCGCTACAGGTTTTTGTGTCTCTTTCAGGGGGTTTGTCAAGATACCAAAACCAAACCCAAATAATATTGGTGGCTGTCACTACAACACTTGTATCATCAGGGAACACTGAAGAATGAACAGGGATGTGTCTGCCTTTCAAGCCCAAGGCCCTTCCAAAGAATACTAACATGAAAACACTTTCTGTTCTTTTTCTTCACTTATCGTGAACCCTTGTTTCACACACATTCATATACCTCACTATATTTTAGTCATCATTTTGATCTCAAGGATCATTACTTATACAGATTTCCATTTCACTTGGCTATATGTACCAAGGCAATCTTTTTGCTAATAAACATTATCAACTTTCTATTTTTTGTGGGTTTTGCATGGGGGAAATCTCACGTAATAAATATAGTACATATTTATGAATTTCTTTTTTCACGAATCCCATCTATATTGACATAAGTCTTGGCTTTTCCCAAACAAAGGCATTTTTATATCCCCATACTTTTCACTTTCTTGTGGTTTTTTAGTTGGTTTTTTTTAACCACACATTAACATTTTCCTCAAATTTTACTTTTATTTTAAGCTGAATCTCATGGTGATTTTTTGGAAACACAAACAGCCATTCCAGCACTGCTCACCTGATTTCTGTCTCTGGCATTTGCGTAGCGGAACCGCTGGATGTAATAAAAGACCAGCCATGCCAGTGAGATGATCATCAGCACAATGAAGGAGATGGAGACAAACACCACAGAGGTCCGGCTGACGTACTTCTGCAGGTTGCGTGTCCCGATGGTTATGTACATCATCACAGTAATGTTCCTCTCCAGGAGGCTCACTATCTCTTTTCCTTTGGGTTCAGGAATCATTATTGCTACAACATCTTCTAGGCCTGTTAGACAGGAGAAAGAAAAGAAACCTTAAGTAAAAAAGGGTGATGACCATGGAATAAAATGACAAGAAGATGTGGCAGAGTAAAAAAACCACCCAAACAAAAAAAAAACCAACAAAGCGCCAAAAGTAATAAAGCTCTCCTTTCTCCTGCTGGTTTTCACCAAGAGGTAAATCAGATGGATGTGGTAAAGGTTTCAACTGGAACCAGTTATGCAGTGAGTTCCTATAAACTAATCTTGGTAAGATCTTTGCTGACTCATCTCATTTAAATTATACTGTTGACTCATCTAATTTAAACTATACTTTTAACTCAAGAGGTTGGACTAGATGATCCTTGTGGTCCCTTCCAACCTGGTATTCTATGATGCTATGATTCTATGAGATACGCAAGATGTGTTTCATGGGTTGACATAAACACAGATTTCCAGCACTACTGAGTCTTCTCTAGAAGCACTGCAGAAAGGGATACATGCTGTAGCCAGCATCCTTCTGTCCAACACTCCATATATTTATCATAGCCCATCTTGCAGGGTCATGAGTCTGCCAGAGAAGCCCCTCCAAAAGCCATATTCAGACTTGAAATGCTTTCAATCCTACATGGTTTCACAGCCCAAACGCGCCAAAGCACCTCTGCCCCCACCTGGGGCTGGCAATAGAAAAAGGCTGTGGGGCCAACAGCAGCTTGACACGTTCCCAGTACACCCCCTGTCCTGTGTTGCTCGAGGCTCCCCACAGCCTGAGCCCATGCAGACATCTGGGAGCCCATGCTGAGAGCTGGACTTGCCAACTGATGCAAGTTTAAAGTCAAGAGCACTGTTTTATTCCACAAAAAAGTGTCACTGCAGCCCAGAGCAGCCCCCACCATGCAGTTTGCAGCATGGCTCCACAAAAATACAAGTCAGCGCAGCTGAGGTGGCAAAGGGGTGTCTGCTAATGGGATGTGGCAGGGACTTCCTACAGTCCTGTCAATCTTCCTTCAGCCATAACTCTGTGAAATGGGCCCTCCATCAATCTATCAAGCCTCAACTCTGCACCAGCTTTCCTTTCTGTACAGTGCTATTTCATTTCACTTGCATCACATGCTGCTGAAACACTTTTCCTTTCTTTTATGTGTCCTATGTACATGACAAATATAGCCTGAAATCATCTGGGATTGGGCATCCACCACATCAGTCTCCCTCTTGTGAGACTTCATCATAACACTTCCCTGATTATGAACAGGCCAGTCAATGAATAGGGGGAAATCAATAATTTGGCTGAGTCAAGAGTTTTAGATATCCATAATAGGAAACTTAACCTTTCTGCTGATACTCTTCCATATAGCACTAATAACTTTCAGCTATTTCCCTTTATTTGTCTAATAAAAGCCCACCTTCAGCAGCCAAGACAAATCTACCTTTGCAATTCTTCTGATACCTGCTTATTACAAGAGGCTAATGTAAACATTACCCTAACAGCCTAGAGGGGCCTTGCCAAGCCTCAAAGTAGCTGAGAAGGGCGCTGGTGTCATGCCAGTAATTTTCCTGCAGTCAATAAGATAAATTGTCTGGAGCAGTGCTTAGCTGTCCACATGCCTTCTTTTGTTCTCTTTCCTTTCTTTAAAGAAAGTAAAAAATTAAAATTCACTCTACAATAAAACAAAAGCAACCACCTCACACAGGGCCAAGAATAACCCATAGTGAAAAATCCCACAGCCAAAATTACTGAAATTAATTTCATCAACTCCTCTCAAAATCCACCACTCTGACCCACTCACTTATCCAGTACAGACCTCTAACATTACCACCCAAACAATCTGAGACACTGTATGAATGATGTTACCTGAAAGCTTAGGCAAGTGGGAGACACAGACTAAACCATTTTCAGCAGAAAATATAGGTAGCATATTAACTGTTTAATTATCCTTAATCTTAAATTCCTTTAAAAACTCTAACAGCATGTTTAATTATGTTTAATTCAACTGAACAGAGCTTAGTGTATTTCAGGACAATTGTAAATAATGGGCACAGGCCACATATGACACGCTGCAAATGAAGAATTCCATTCAATTCTTCAATCACAAAACTAATATTTTTGTAATAATAAAACAAGCACCCCACAGTAATGTCCTATCTTCTTTAATATTAAAGTAGTGAAAAAGAGGGAGAAAAAAAGATTATGATCTCCTGCATAAATACGACCTCATTCCTGGTTTTCACCGCCTGCCCTTTCTGATGAAGCTACAGGGCAGCTTTCTGGCTTCAGTTCATGGTGGAACCGTAACTGGTTTTGAACAGGAGTGCAGCCAAACGCCTCCCTTCTCTGCTTTCTCCATACATCTCTCTGTGAGGATTGTCTACTGCCACCTTGGGCCTAGAGCCTTTCAAAATACTTTACAAAACACGAGATACAAAGTAAATGGCCACGGATATATGCTAAATAAAATGACATTTAGAAATGAAAAGTAGAAGACGCAGCTATTGCAAAAGGAAAGCAGCTGCTTTTATTTATTCAAACCCTTAATATATTCAAATTCCAGGCTATCTGGTTATTTTCTTGGAAAATGTTACCATTTGTAATGAAGCATTCTTAGAAAAAATAACCAAATCAGCAACAAATAATAATCCGTTGGGTTTTTAAAAAACTTTTTATTGAGTTTATGATAATTTATCCAAGGCACTACAGAGAATGCTATTTGATCAATCAAGTCATTAAGCTAAGTTTTTAATCTCAAATATGCTCAATATTGGGAAGAAAGGGAAAGGGAAAGGGAAAGGGAAAGGAATTTATTTCCCTTTCCTCCCTTATATAACAAAATATTTGTATTATCTCAGTTTTAGTACCTAATGACACACAAGAAGCTCCAATATGTATGAAAACTATACGCACACGGAAGACGAGCAATAACATAATGAGACATTAATGTCAGAGATGGATTTCTACACCCAAGTACACATTTGCTCAACAGACTTCAAAAAAGAAAGTATCTGGTAACATGTACTGATGCTTCTCTTGTGAGTTAAATGCTAATGATGCCTTTCATAACACACACAGACAATGGTAGCTGCATTTTGTGGTACTCTTGCTACTTACCACATTTCTTTTTCTAGCCAAGATTAATGCAGATTTTGACATGGATTTTTAAGTAGCTCTCAGGATGAAGCAGAGATTCACAAATCAAAGGTATTCAGGCTGCAGTGAATGTATTTTTTTTTCTTTTTTTTTTTGGGTTTAGGAAACATTTAACATATCAGTGCTCTCTTTATGAGCCAATAACAAAACATGTAAGGCAGAACTTTCAGGCATTTGGCATGATTCAAGACACTTTAACTTGCTGAGGCATATTCACCTAAACAAATATTTCTGGGTGGAGAAAATGTGCTGCTGGTCTTCAGGCTGGTAGTGTGCTGCTAGGCTCCTCATCCCATGGCATCAGGCAGGATGGCCATTGCCATGGTTACAGGTGGGGACAGGACAGGCCCGGGCATTGCTGGCTCCAAAGGGGCCATCCTGGGGAGCTGTGGACGGGCTCAGCCTGTTTCCCAGTCACTGGGCCAAACGTGTAGTCCTGTGGCTAATCCATTGAGAGCACAACAACCACACCAAGCTGTGGCTACTTCGTTCACTTACAAAGAGTTGTTCTGCAATTAATAGGTTTTGATATACTGAATCCCCCAAGCACTACACCTTCCTGGCTGGGTCATCCTGGGCTCTTCCTTAGCCCAGCCTGCAGGAGAAGGAGTCCCATCTCCTAACTGACTGCTAACAGCAGGAGGGACCATGGAGCAGTGATGAAAGCAGAGAGCGTTTTCAATGGCAATATACGCACTTAGGAAAAAGACCTCAAAGACCCTCTCCAAACCTTCCTCCTCCCCACAGTACTTGGCTATGGAAACACAGTTTAGTTGGGATGCTTTTTATGTGAAATTGAAATCTTCAAGTGTAACAATCCCCTGGTGATCATTTCTGTAACAGTGGCTTTTGTAGAAGAAATGAACAGGTTTTACAGCCAGAAGATGTACGTGTATTTTCCACCTTGGCCACAGGGTCTGCTGACAAACCTGTGTTATTTCTTGATTCTGCTCTGGGAGCTTCAGGAGTGATACTGAAAATGGTCCTCTCTTCTAATCAGCAGCCAAGGCCCAGCAGTGGCAGGCCTTAATGTTTTGTCAAGTTTTGATGGAGGCTGTAAAAAGTTGTATATTTCTGACACATCTTAGAAGAGATTATTTAATTCTTTATGCTTAACAACTGCTAGAAGTCAGAGAAATAATTAATTGAATTATTTGAGTAGAATTCTGATTTGGAAGGCATATAGTTTTCGCCAAAATATCCTATCAAGATGTAAATAAGGATTTCTCTTATGTTGTACTTCAAAGTCAGGTACTAAGGTATTTCCTTTTACAGATTCTGTGACTGAGAACTCAAACGCTATTTTAGATTTCAGAAATTGCCCTAATAATACAGACAGTGTTCAGTCCTGCTCAGAGCACAGGAATACAAACATCACAGGAGGGTGCAAGAACCTAAGCAACTCTTCCTTTACTTTCTTGAAGAAATAATTTCACTTTTAGGAATCAATTTCAGTAACTATCAGCTAATGGTAAACAAAACAAAACAAATCCGGATCTAAACAATTCACCAGCCTGCCCATGCCCAGCTCTGGAGCATCCTCCCCGGGCTCAGCCCATGGTCTGTGGGTCCTGCCAGCCCCATGCAGCATGAGCCAATTTGGCGGGCGTGCTTCCTGCAAGCTCAGCAGCGCTCACTCCGCACAAGGACTTACTGTGCTGCCAGCCACGCCAGTGCTTTCCTGCCACAGCTCCTGCTGCTGCTTGTGTGAATGGATCTTATGGTATGATCTGGATTATTTGTAACATTTCAAAGCAAATTTGGAGCAAGGCACAAACTCTCCCTCCCCCCGCCCCCCTCAAGAATATTATTTTCTCCAGAACATAAGCTCAGCTGAAAAATCAGTACTGAAGAGAATAAAAAGGAATCTATGATGAAAGTAGATTG